CACTGCCCTGTGGGTGGGTAGAGAGCAAGGGAGTCCACTGCCCTGTGGGTGGGTAGAGGGAGTCCACTGCCCTGTGGGTGGGTAGAGGGAGTCCACTGCCCTGTGGGTGGGTAGAGGGAGTCCACTGCCCTGTGGGTGGGTAGAGAGAGTCCACTGCCCTGTGGGTGGGTAGAGGGAGTCCACTGCCCTGTGGGTGGGTAGAGGGAGTCCACTGCCCTGTGGGTGGGTAGAGGGAGTCCACTGCCCTGTGGGTGGGTAGAGGGAGTCCACTGCCCTGTGGGTGGGTAGAGGGAGTCCACTGCCCTATGGGGGGTAGAGAGCGAGGGAGTCCACTGCCCTGTGGGTGGGTAGAGGGAGTCCACTGCCCTATGGGGGGTAGAGAGCAAGGGAGTCCACTGCCCTGTGGGTGGTGCTGTCTTAGAGAGTGATTGAGTGCACAGTGCAGCAGCTAGGTGGAGTAAGCACCTATGGGACCTGGCACCAGGTGGGCGGCAGGTAGCTTAGTGGGTAAGAGCGTTATGCCTGTAACCGAAAGGTCGCTGGTTCTAATCCCCGAGCCGACTAGGTGAAAAATCTGTCGATGTGCCCTTAAGCAAGGCACTTAACCCTAATTGCTCCTGTAAGTCGCTCTGGATAAGAGCGTCTGCTAAATGACTAAAATGTAAAATGTAAATGTAAGGAGAAACCACAACTCAGACCAGAAAATGCAAATTGAGTTGCTTTTTGCATAAGGATAATGTGGGTAGCATACTAAGGGGGGAGAGAGAGGAGGTATGGACTTGAATAATACGCCATTGAGAAGCCTGACTGAATCCGTGTGGGTTGGCCACTCACCAGCTCGTAGGACCATGAAATCATGTCAAACATTCCCTCAGCCAATCTCATTCCCAATGCCTTATCAACATTTGCTGCATCACATGACGCAAGTCTGTCACAGCTACGCAGAACCAACTCATTTAGGGCAGTTATTATTCCTTCCCCTTACATTTGTCACATACCTTGATTGTCTTATATCATAACTGTTATCCCAACCGATTGTCTTCATTCATGGAGTACATGTGGGCCACAGCAACCCACCATGTAACCGGCCCAGTTTCACAAATACTTTGTGAATGAATGCAATCTGTTGAAAGGCTCTTTTGGAATGATTGGCATGGGAGCTAAGCTTGTGGTGTCCCTGAAGTAGCAGCAGCGTTTCACAAATAGAAACCCCCCCCTGCCTACGCAACCTCATTTCGCCATCTCTTTTTAGGATTACTAGGTGTGTGTGTGTGTGTGTGTGTGTGTGTGTGTGTGTGTGTGTGTGTGTGTGTGTGTGTGTGTGTGTGTGTGTGTGTGTGTAATTACCTCTTCACAATAGGCATAAAATACACTAGACTACATGTTTTAGCCCGAAGAAAATTTAGTAATTTTTCACTGCTGTAGATTTAATTATCTAATTAAAGTTAATCAGCTTTGATCAATACTGTGGACAGGGGGCCATAAAACACTACCTGGTCGGCATTGGAGACCGAGGATGTGCAGTAAAACATGAGGAGGTGCTATAAGATATTTCCATAATGCACATACTGTAACAGTGGGGTGTGTAATCCCATCTGTGAAATACCTCTTCTGTTACAACTGTATTCCATAGTCTAAGCCGTTGAAGATAAAAACAATTATAAATCCTATTATCAAATTAGGTTTCTCTGGGGCCTATTTGTTTTTTACTTGTCTGAATGTGTCAGTGAACGAATGAGGAATGTTCAGTTTGCTCATTTAGTTAATAGCCAGCAGTGTGGATCTGAGTGAGCGAGGGGCACAGGAGAACAGTGTGTGTGTGTAGCAGGATGGAGCGAGAGAGAGGAGAGTGGGTCAAGACGGAGGGAGAGAATGGTGCTTATGCTTTGCCCTTTTTTTATTATGCTGACTAGTGGGCTGGAAAAATGATTAGAAAGTAATCAGATTGTTTACGGAATAGTAAAGTTCGGTTCCACGCTATCTCTGCACCAATGTGTTTGATATAAAATCTCCTCAGCTTGTAAATAATTAAAAATATAAATATTAGTCATTTAGCAGACATTCTTATCCAGAGTGACTTACAGGAGCAATTAGGGTTAAGTGCCTTGCTTAAGGGTACATCGACAGATTTTTCACCTAGTTGGCTCAGGGAATCGAACCAGCGACCTTTCAGTTACTGACCCAACACTCTTAACTGCTAGGCTACCTGCTGCCCATAGTCCAAAGTCTACTCTCCCCCCTCTGCCTTTCTCTGCATAATAAATTATTTGCATGCATCTGAAATGCACCCTATTCCCTAGTGCACTACTTTGGATCAGAACCACTGTGTATAGTGCACTATGTAGGGAATAGTGTTCCATTTCAGACATATCCATTGAAGTTAGTTAGTTGTCACATGGTGCCTCGGGGGGGAAACATCCTGTATGTGGACGGAGGCCCTCTGTGTTTTCTCATAACTGTTGTGGTTGTTGTGTAAATAATGCATTGGCCTCTCCTCTCTATTACCAGAACTGGTGTGTGTGTATATATACTACCCTATCATATGGCTAATAATAACACAAAAGTCAGCTTGGATAACAGAGATGATTCGCCACTGTTTTATTGATGCATCCATGTGTCTCACACCATCTCTCTCGCTCTCTCTCTTTCTCTCTCTCTCTTTCTCGCTCTTTCTCTCTCTCTCTCTTTCTCGCTCTTTCTCTCTCTCTCTCTCTTTCGCTCTCTTTCTCTCTTCTCATTCTCTCTCTCTCCAGCATCAAGTTACTGGCAGTCCAAGACCTGGTAGATCGGGAGGCCCTTGACAAGGTACAGTGTAGCAATCCCTTTCTTCACCTACTAGATAAAATACATTTTCTTATTGATTTGGGGAGCAAAGCTCTGTGTACCCATTAGTCCACCAGTACATATCATCTTTATGTTCGTGATAATTATGAGATGCTCTTGACCGTAAAAACATGTAGCGAACCTCCCTCCCTTGTTTGCTCTCTATCTCTCACCCACTTAACCTTCTGTTCTTCCTCAATTATGCATAATTCTCAGTTTCTCTCTCATTCTTTCTCTCTCTCCAGCTTTTTCTCTCTTTCTCTCTCTAAAAGTCTGCTCCAGCGCTGATATAAACACCAACATAATTTAGACACCGGCCAACATATACTTGTAAACACACAAATGATCTTCAGACTAGATCTGATCTGTTATCTATAGATCTATCCACTTAACTGAGTGCATATTCACCAGACATCAACCTCATATTGCTTCATTATCGTATATCAGGCAGCCCCTAGACATGACCTTCTCTGATTCTGTCCACAGCTACATTCTCCTAACCTCATTACCAAAGTAGAGCACAGACCTGCAGAGAGAACCCCTAATGGGTTGAGGATGTTACATAACATCCAGTAATAGAGAAGCAGGTATTCTAGCGGTGTACAGCAGCATACCAGGGCAGTGTCCCCCATCTCTATCTCCTCGCACTCGTAAGAAATACACCCTCTTCCTTTCTCCACACCTACCGTAGCAACTACTAACTTATTTATTGCGTTGAAAGCACAGGAGAGTGGCTTCACAGATCACACTCTAAATGTAAGCCTGGAAATAGAACATAGTTTACACCGAGGGAGCCAGGAGGAGAGCGAGAGAGACCGTATGTGATGTGCTCCTGGAGAGAGAACTAGGTCGGCAGAGCTAATGTCTCTCAGAGAGAGTTACAGAGAGAAAGTTTCTCTCTGAAGAGAGGGATTGAGAGTTTCTCTCTGACGAGAGGGATTGAGAGTTTCTCTCTGACGAGAGGGATTGAGAGTTTCTCTCTAAAGAGAGAGGAGAGAAGGGAGCTGAGAGGAAAATATAGGCAGATGAGAGATGGAGGGGAGGAGGATGCTCTGAAGAGAAATGATTCCTCTTTCCGCTCGTCTTCCACGGATAAAATGTTCTCTCCCTCCCTTTATCTCTGCACTGCAGGCAGTCAGTGAGTCACGAAGTGTGAATGGTTCTGATTTCACACTATGTCCAAACCCAAAGGCTACGCAAGTTGCCAGAGACTCTCTCTGTCACTGCTCTAACATCTGTCCGCCTTGTCTTATTCCCTCAACTAATTCCTCAACTCCCTGTAGGGTTTCTTTAACTCCCCAATGGAATACCACAACTTGAATGTTACATAAAATTCCAAAACTGAAATTACCTTTTCTAGTTTCATAACTTCTAGTTGAGAGTTCCCCCTATAATCAGACAAAACAAGATAGAACTGTAAATGCATACTTTAGCCTATATATTTTTGGGAGGTATTTTGACGTTTTATTGACTGATCGGGATTATGAGGTGGGGAGATAGATGAGTGGGATGCAGTATAGAATGTGAGAGGCGGAACGGGGGATGGAACTGCTGCCTCCAGTGGCATATGTGTTCCAGGGGTAATAGCACTTCCACTCGACAAGCCCCCAACACCAAAATACATACTTTGATTGGCTTTCTATTGGTTTCTGTTATAATTTGTTTACCTTTGTAATCTCTGCAAATATGGTCAACACACCTTATGAAGTCTCTGTCTGTGATGCAGCATCACACACCACACGCTATGACACTATGACTAAAGCAAAAGTTTGAGTTGACATATTTACTGACAGTTGACAGTTTTTACTGTTTAGTCACTCTAAGGATGTGTAGCAGTCTTAGTCACTGTTTTCTTGTTCTGTTTTGTAGCTAAGGAACCTTCTGTGGTTTGTGGTGAATTACTGAGCAGTGAATAATGATTCCCCTAAAAGATTACTCTTGGTGTTCTTCTAGTTGTTTACCAGATTTTGCTAGTGTGAAGTTCAAAACAACTTGACTGTGTTAACCAGAGTTACATTAGGGCTGAGACTGACTGAGAGTAGGGACTTTCACACACACATTTTCTTAGCCCAGTGCTATCATTAACCCTAGGTTAAATCTGACCGAGGTGGCTTACCCTTGTTTCACACAAGCCCTTAACCCTGGGCTAACCAAACAACAAGCAGGAGTAGAGTAACATGGTGGGGTAGTTGGTTACATCACAAGACACACCCACACTATTTACAATTTTGACCCACACTAAAACACTCCCACACATTTCCTTTGTATTCTTTCCCTCAGACAAGTACTGTATTTATCTATTGTAACACCATAGTGAAACGTGGTGGTCATGTGTGGATTTGCTATGCTTCCTTATTTCCATGACAACAAGTAACTATCTGGAATAAAGCTTTCTTTCCTCTTACTCACTCCTGCTAAAACATCCACGGTCTCCATGGTGACCAGTTAGTGTTTTATGGCCCCCTGTCCACAGTATCAATCAACGCTGATTAACTTCCATTAGGGCGGCCCCCCCTTTTGAAGGCCCTCAGAATTTTTATATATATTTTGTTTTTTGGGGGGGGGACTCAGTCGGGTTCTCAACTTACTGTTGCGAGTTACAATAGTGGAATACACAAGGTGAAATTTGGTTGAGCATCAGCAGTTTTTCTCTTGTTATGTCAGTCACTGATAGTCAGTTAGCCCATGTCAGCTAACATTTTTAGATAGCTGGCCGATTGGTAAATTAGTCTTGTAGTAATCATGGATGAATTACTGCCCAGGGGGCCCCCATTGATTTTGTTAGTCAGTCTCACTCAGATGTCATATTAAAAACTGCAAACTTTTCTCTCCGCCCTATGGAAAAATGTGTAGAATTGCAGGAAATGATTTATAGAATTACTAGATCTTCTCTCCACCCCATGGCAAAGTGTGTAGAATGATACAAAATGTACTCTAAAACGTAAAAGGAATTCTCTACGGGCTGGGAGGTTTGGCGCCGCAACTGTTTGGCGCCCCCCCTTATTTTCTTCCGGCTGCCGTTTTGAAACTTTGTTATTAGCATCATTTATTGTGGGCTGCTTGGTGCTGGATTACTGCAACTCGCTGTTGGCTGGGCTCCCTGCCTGCGCCATTAAACCCCTACAACTTATCCAGAACGCTGCAGCCCGTGTGGTGTTCAACCTTCCCAAGTTCTCTCATGTCACCCTGCTCCTCCGCACACTCCACTAGCTTCCAGTTGAGGCTCGCATCTACTACAAGACCATGGTGCTTGCCTACGGAGCTGTGAGGGGAACGGCACCTCCTTACCTTCAGGCTCTGATCAGACCCTACACCCAAACGAGGGCACTACGTTCATCCACCTCTGGCCTGCTAGCTCCCCTACCTCTATGGAAGCACAGTTCCCGCTCAGCCCAGTCAAAGCTATTCGCTGCTCTGGCACCCCAATGGTGGAACAAGCTCCCCCACGATGCCAGGACAGCGGAGTCACTGACCACCTTCCGGAGACACTTGAAACCCTACCTCTTTAAGGAATACCTGGAATAGTATAAAGTAATCCTTCTTCCCCCACCCCCCATTAAAAAATATATAAAATAAAAATAAATTAAAAACGTGGTTGTCCCACTGGCCATCATAAGTTGAATGCACCAATTTGTAAGTCGCTCTGGATAAGAACGTCTGCTAAATGATGTAAATGTAAATGTGAGTTGGTGCTTGACATTAATAGTGCCTACAGGAGAGGATGATGGGGTATTTATTGATGTGGTAAAGACCAAGGCAGGGCACCCTCTGCTTTCCTGGTTCCCCATAGGGAAGCTCTCCCTCTGGGACTGATAGTAGACCTAGTAGCAGCTCAGCCAGGGAGAGAAGGAATGCAAGGCAGACGGTCTCCCTCTCCCATGTGACCTTTCACATGTTAGAACACTACTGGTGTCTGGTGCACCCTGAAAGACATTTGGTCACTTCCTTTTTCTGAGTCTATTTCCTGTAGGAAATGGTACTACTTGAGGTCATTTAAATTGGTATAATTGTAGGTCTAAAGGTATCATTTGAGGAGACATTTCAGTTCTATAGCTTTCACTTCATACTAAAAACGGTGGTCATTTAATTGTAAGTCTTTAAATATCTTCTGTGGCTATTTTAAGAACAGATCGTAGAGGATAAATCAACAGAGACCAATAATGTGTTGACAGTTGTTGTGATGTACTGCTCTGTGTAGTCATACACACCCTACATATATTGTAATGCCCACTTCATCAAAATAGAATATAGAATGACTACTACACTGTTTCTATGGTCTACTGTCCAGTGTTGTGTAATAATACGTACCCCTCGTCTATTGTGTTGCAGTTCTGTGTGGAACTGAACCAGGGCTCGTTGGACAGCGTGAGGAAGTGGAGAGGACCACGGGGGGTCTGGAAGAGTACCGTCTCTGAGAAACCCACTGGACTGTCCAACAAGGTAGGATTACTGATTACATCACTGCACAAAAAAATATAGTTTTTCCCATTCTGTCTTTCTTGCTTCTCTCTCTCTTTTTCCATCTCTCTCCCACTCTGTTCCCCCCCCCCCCCCCCACCCTCCAACCCCTCTCTCACATCCCATCTGAAACAGACCACCATCTCAATAGTTCACACAGCCCAGAAATAAACACAACCATTATTAGTAAAACATTTACTACACTCTCAAACAACCTTTCTACACTCATAAAACAGAACCTACTAAGGGGCTGTTATCAGTGACCAGACGTAACGAAATAGATCCCGTGATATAAGGCCTGCTGTAGGATTCAAATGTCTAGTACAGTATGATTAAAGCTGGTTGATTTATGGGACCCTTAGAGAGGACATTCCCATAATGTCTGTCCAAAACCACCAAGAATCTCTCTGAGAGGACACACATACGCACACACTCTGTCTTCCCAAACACCAGAAGGACTAAATAGCGGTGTTTATCCTCAGAGGAAGCTAGTCCTGATATGGACCCTTGATATAAACTTGAGCTTTATTCTGCGTCTCTGTGGGGATGGCTCCTGTCAATAAGATGGATAGTACATATGATGTGGAGGGGGGTCGTAAACAAACCCTCCCCTCTGACCTCTAGAACTGTCAGCCTCCCAGCTCTGTCATCCCCTCTGTCCTCTAGTACTGTCAGCCTCCCAGCCCTGTCCTCCCCTCTGTCCTCTAGTACGGTCAGCCTCCCAGCCCTGTCCTCCCCTCTGTCCTCTAGTACTGTCAGCCTACCATCCCTGTCCTCCCCTCTGTCCTCTAGTACTGTCAGCCTCCCATCCCTGTCCTCCCCTCTGTCCTCTAGTACTGTCAGCCTCCCATCCCTGTCCTCCGCTATGACCTCTAGTACTGTCAGTCTCCCAGCCCTCCCTCTCCTAGTCCTGCCACTGCCAGCCTCCCAGCCCTCCCTCTCCTAGTCCTGCCAGCCTCTGCAGTTTGTCAAGGAGCTGTATTGTTAAGATGTTTTGGAATGGAGCTATAACTCTTCTGCTCCTGCCCTGATCTGTTCACAATAGAAGGATCTGTGTGTACGATTTGATTTCGTTTTTATAATGGCTTTTGGTGGTGGGGTGGGATGTGTGTGTACGATTTTGATTTGTTTTTAGTGTGTGTTTGGTATCTGCCCTCTGCACATGGTTTAAAACGCTCCACTGACTTAGCAGCAGGAAGATGTAGCCAGTGGGTATCATATCTGTCTGAGGCTCCACTGCAGTGATCTATGACACACATCTCTCTCAGTATCAAACTGGGCCATCTGCCGCTGGGTCTAGCTGTGATGCTGACCGTGCCCCTCTCTTACCCTGCTGTTACCCTGCTGTTACCCCCTGTTACCCTGCTGTTACCCCCTGTTACCCTGCTGTTACCCCCTGTTACCCTGCTGTTACCCCCTGTTACCCTGCTGTTACCCCCCTCTTACCCTGCTGTTACCCCCTCTTACCCTGCTGTTACCCCCTCTTACCCTGCTGTTACCCTGCTGTTACCCCCTGTTACCCTGCTGTTACCCCCTCTTACCCTGCTGTTACCCCCTGTTACCCTGCTGTTACCCCCTGTTACCCTGCTGTTACCCCCTGTTACCCCCCTGTTACCCCCTGTTACCCTGCTGTTATCCCCTCTTACCCTGCTGTTATCCCCTCTTACCCCAGCACATGATCCCCTCAGAGAGGCTTATACCCTCCCTGGGTGAGAGGGGGCTCATTCAACCAACAGAGAGGATAACTGAGGATATCTACAGTATATAGGCCAGATATCCCCAGGCTCTTTATATTTAGAGGGCTAACCAGGAAACACCCTTAGTGATATAGTACAGAGGCTGAGCTCTGGCTTTGGGAAGTTCACTGAAGACTGAGTTGACTCCAATACTGGTTCAAAGGCGTCCTGAAAGTTTAACTAGTCTCTTTTCTTCACTCTTGTCTGTCTGTTGTCCTCCGTTTCCTCAGGGAGTCAGTTATTCCTCTGACTGTGTCTCCTGTTGTCCAATCTCCTCCAGGGAGTCAGGTATTCCTCTGACTGAGATTCCTGTTGTCCAATCTCCTCCAGGGAGTCAGTTATTCCTCTGACTGTGTCTCCTGTTTTCCTCTCTCCTCCAGGGAGTCAGTTATTCCTCTGACTGTGTCTCCTGTTTTCCTCTCTCCTCCAGGGAGTCAGTTATTCTGGATTCCTGTGGGACAGCTCTTCTGGGATTGACCTGAAAGATGCTTCGGTCCTGGAGAGTCCTGTCATCAATGGCAACGGGAAGCACCCCCACCCCCGGCCGTATCTCGCCCACTTTTATGTAAGTCAACAAGGAGTGCGTGTTTGGTGGGAACTCCCTAAACTGAAATTACGAACAAACGCATGACTCATTTTATTGCCCCTATCAATACCATTATAACCATATAATGTCCTGCCAGAGAGACTAACATTATGTTAATAGTTAATATGTGACTAGGTTGGATTGTTGGAGCTGACAATGGTCAATGTCCACATGAGAGCTCCGGCTAGGGCTGGGGAGTCCAACGGTAGGAACCACCACTCTGAGGAGGTTAAGGCCCATAGACTGACCTCCAGTATCCAGGACATACTGAAAGGTCAGTAGCTGAAGGTCAAAGGTCACCCTATTCTGTCTTTTCTAAGTTTACGTCCTCTTTCTCTTCCTTTATTCTTACCATCTTTCGCTTCCTCAGTGGTTTATTGTATTTGTTTATTTGACCTAGTTACAAAGCTAATGTAGCTACATCGCTAATGTCCATCTGTGGTTCATCTGTGTGACAGGTCAGAAGGGCCTGGTGGTGTTGGGGGACTTTGGCCTGCCCCCCCAGAGCAGTGAGCTGGACCAGCTTAGGAAGGAGAGGCTGAGCCCCCTGGTGCCCCCCAACATGTTCACGAACATCAGCACCCGCTCCCCCCAGGGCTCCCTCTGTCTGGACAACATCTGGGTCAGCAAGTCACTGAAGAAGAGCTACGCAGGTACGTCTGTCTGTCTGATGTCTATGCATGTAACTGTGTGTGTCAGAATATGTAGCGTTCATACCATTCTAGTTATTCCCACTGCAATAACATGCCAATCTAACAATTGGCACATGAATGCTAGATTTGCATGTGTCTGTTAGTGTTATGAGCTTGGCTATGGAGGGATTGTAGTGCCACCAGGAATAGAGTCTGATTGTGTTACCCTCTGACCTGTCTGTATCTCCATGTGTGTGCTTCCCCCTGCAGGACACTGTCTGGTGGTGCGAGAGGGCCTGACCAACCCCTGGATACCTGACAACTGGTCGTGGGGCGGGGTGGTGTCCGACCATTGTCCTGTCATGGCTGAGTTCTTCGTGGATGTGGCGCAGAAGGAGCTGAGAAACAGAGTTGCCGTGGTAGAGAGAGGAGAAAGTATGTCGAAACACGAACGGTGACTGCCGCTCGCGGTCGCCATGGAAATACAGGCGCGACCGTTGTGGAGGGAGATTGTGGCACTGTGGATGTGATATCAAACTGACTTGACTTTGCCCTGGACTGGATCCTGCTTTGGCCTGGGTTTTGCAGTGGATCAAAGGGTGGATTTTCCTGACAAATATGAATTGAAGCACCGAGATTGCCTTTTTAGTGTCCTTTAGCAATGTACTGTAGAGACTATCATGACATTGTTTTGGAGTAAATCATAGAAGACAGATACTGTGTGTGTGTTACAGACATGAGTGTGCCAAAACATTTTAAAAATGTATATGAAATAAAATGACATTAATAGACATTTTCTGTGTCAACTATGCTGATCTTTGATCTGAGATCCAACCACCAGAGCCCTAGATTGTTCAATACAATATGATATACGCAAACACAACTAATGTTAATTTAATTGTTGTACTTGTGCCTGTGACCTACCTATTGTAGCTGTAGCCTAAAGCTTGCACACTGATGCACAGTAATACTGGTACATTTAAGTCAGTGAGTGAAATGGGAGGCTGGAGCTTAGGTGTCGAAGCCATTAAAAGCTGCTCTATGAAATTATGTAAACAGGTCCTTAGCGTCTGTGTGTGGAAGTGAGGCAACTTGACATGGAGCCCGGGAACCAATTACTAGCTCCTTTCAACATATTGTCTGTCCAGATGAAGATAGGATACAGTATGTGAACACACACTCACACACCGTGATCTCTGAACTACAGTGCCTTCAGAAAGTATTCACACCCCTTGACTTTTTACACATTTTGTTGTGTTACAAAGTGGGATTAAAATGGATTTAAATTTCATTTTTTGTCAACGATCTACACAAATTACTCATGTCAAAGTATATAACTCTAATATATCTTAATTACATAAGTGTTCAACCCCTGACTCAATACATGTTAGAATCACCTTTTGGCAGAGATTACAGCTGTGAGTCTTTCTGGGTAAGACTCTACAAGCTTTGCACACCTGGATTGTACAATATTTGCACATTCTTTTTTTAAATTATTCAAGCTCTGTCAAGTTGGTTGTTGATCATTGCTAGACAGCCATTTTCAAGTGTTGCCATAGATTACGTTTTTTTAAAAAGTCAAAACTGTAACTGTAACTAGGCCACTCAGGAACATTCAATGTCATCTTGGTAAGCAACTCCAGTTTATATTTCGCTTTGTGTTTTAGGGTATTGTCCTGCTGAAAGGTGAATTTGTCTCCCAGTGTCTGGTGGAAAGCAGACTGAACCAGGTTTTCCAAATGTACAAAATCAGCAGGGGATCAAATACTTTTTTCCCTCACTGTACACTACCAGTCAAAGGTTTGGACACACCTACTCATTCAAGGGTTTTTCTTTATTTTTACATTGTAGAATTAATAGTGAAGACAACAAAACTATGAAATAACACATGGAATCATGTAGTAACCAAAAAAGTGTTAAACCAATCAAAATATATTTTATATTTGAGATTCTTCAAATAGCCACACTTTGCCTTGATGACAGCTTTGCACACTCTTGGCATTCTCTTTACCAGCTTCATGAGGTAGTCACCTGGAAATAATTTCAATTAACAGGTGTGCCTTCTTAAAAGTTAATTTGTGGAATTCCTTTCCTTCTTAATGCGTTTGAGCCAATCCGTTGTGTTGTGACAAGGAAGGGGGGGTATACAGAAGATAGCCCTATTTGGTAAAAGACCAAGTCCATATTATTGCAGGAAAAGCTCAAATAAGCAAAGCGAAACGACAGTCCGTCTTTACTTTAAGACATGAAGGTCAGTCAATACGGAACATTTCAAGAACTTTTAAAGTTTCTTCAAGTGCAGTCGCAAACACCATCAAGCGCTATGATTAAACGGGCTCTCATGAGGACCGCCACAGGAATGGAAAACCCAGAGTTACCTCTGCTGCAGAGGATAAGTTCATTAGAGTTACCAGCCTCAGAAATTGCAGCGCAAATAAATGCTTCACAAAATTCAAGTCACAGACATATCTCAACATCAACTGTTCAGAGGGGACTGTGAATCAGGCCTTCATGGTCTAATTGCTGCAAAGAAACCACTACTAAAGGACACCAATAAGAAAAAGAGACTAGGAAATCACACTACAAGCTATCACCCTCATGCTCTTAAGGAGATCATGAATGTCATGGATACATTAGAACTAGTGGATATATGGAGGCTTAAATATCCTGACCTAGTGAGATTTACATGGCGGAGACTCAATCAAGCTAGTCGTCTTGACTTCTTTCTTATGTCATTCTCGTTGGCACCAAAAGTTTAAAAAGTGTTGATAGGGGACAGAATGCGGTCGGACCATCATATCATTGGCATATACATTACTCTTACTGAATTTCCACGTGGGCAAGGATATTGGAAGATAACTTGTTTTTAACTAGGACAGAGGAATTTATAACTGAATTTTTCCAACATAACATAGGTACAGCAAATCCCCTTATTGTATGGGACACTTTTAAATGTGGCTTTTAGATGCCATGCAATTCAGTACTCATCTCGAAAACAAAAGCAATTTAGGTCAAAAGAGTCCATACTAACAAAGGAAATATAAGGTCTAACAGAACAGATAAATAGCAATAAAAACTGTAACATAGAGGCTAAGAATGAATGAGAGAAAAAAGGTATTGTTGGCCATTATTCATTCTAATCAGACAGGTTTTTTACATGGACGATACATTGGAGATAATATTAGGTAAGTACTGGAAACAATAGAACACTATGAAAAATCTGGGAAACCAGGCCTGCTATTCATAGCTGACTTTGAAAAGGCTTTTGATAAAGTACGACTGGAGTTAATGCATAAATGCCTCGGGCATTTACAAAATGGGTTAAAATCATATACAGTAGGGAGAACAAGTATTTGATACACTGCCGATTTTGCAGGTTTTCCTACTTACAAAGCATGTAGAGGTCTGTCATTTTTATCATAGGTACACTTCAACTGTGAGAGACGGAATCTAAAACAAAAATCCAGAAAATCACATTGTATGATTTTTAAGTAATTAATTTGCATTTTATTGCATGACATAAGTATTTGATACATCAGAAAAGCAGGGATTTTGACCCACTCCTCCATACAGACCTTCTCCAGATCCTTCAGGTTTCGGGGCTGTCGCTGGGCAATACGGACTTTCAGCTCCCTCCAAAGATTTTCTATTGGGTTCAAGTCTGGAGACTGGCTAGGCCACTCCAGGACCTTGAGATGCTTCTTACGGAGCCACTCCTTAGTTGCCCTGGCTGTTTCGGGTCGTTGTCATGCTGGAAGACCCAGCCACGACCCATCTTCAATGCTCTTACTGAGGGAAGGAGGTTGTTGGCCAAGATCTCGCGATACATGGCCCCATCCATCCTCCCCTCAATACGGTGCAGTCGTCCTGTCCCCTTTGCAGAAAAGCATCCCCAAAGAATGATGTTTCCACCTCCATGCTTCACGGTTGGGATGGTGTTCTTGGGGTTGTACTCATCCTTCTTCTTCCTCCAAACACGGCGAGTGGAGTTTAGACCAAAAAGCTCTATTTTTGTCTCATCAGACCACATGACCTTCTCCTATTCCTCCTCTGGATCATCCAGATGGTCATTGGCAAACTTCAGATGGGCCTGGACATGCGCTGGCTTGAGCAGGGGGACCTTGCGTGCGCTGCAGGATTTTAATCCATGACGGCGTAGTGTGTTACTAATGGTTTTCTTTGAGACTGTAGTCCCAGCTCTCTTCAGGTCATTGACCAGGTCCTGCCGTGTAGTTCTGGGCAGATTTTGCTGCGAAGAGACAGAATCATTAGATCATTTGTTTTGGTACTGTCCATTTGTAGCTTGTTTTTGGTCACAGGTCCAAGAATGGCTGAAGGATTAAAATATTTACCTGGAGCTAACCCTGCAGATAGCACTACTGGGTGATCTGAAAAGTCATAGTCAATCGATCAATAATATAATAATACTTTTAGCAAAAATGTTTATTTTCAATTTACAATCTGTAGAAACAATGAGAATAGAAGGGTTCAGAACCTTTGTGAAACATCACAGCACAGTTGAGAAATATATGGCAAGTAGAAATCCAATATGGATGGTGTTAATAGATAGATGGGAGGGGTTGAATGGAGCTGAAGGTTGGGACTAATAACAACTAATAACAACAAAATAACTAATGTAAAACATACTGTGTCCATAATAAGTATATGGGTTGTGAACTTTTGTGAAAGAGCACAGTTTGGGGGATATGGCATGTAGAGGCAAACCGGATGGACATCATGAAAATGATCGGAGAGGTTGAGGGTAGAGGAAGTTCAAGAGTAAAAACAAACAAAATAGAATTATAGTAAAATTGACTGTGTCCATAAAATGTATATAGTATGTACAAGCTGGAAGAAGAGGCCTAAGCATGGTTGTTCACTAGTTTACTCCAATTAGGGGAGGGGTGGTGGGGTAGGAAAGTAATAAAGGAAAATACATTATAAAAAAGGATATGTATATACAGTGGGGGAAAAAAGTATTTAGTCAGCCACCAATTGTGCAAGTTCTCCCACTTAAAAAGATGAGAGAGGCCTGTCATTTTCATCATAGGTACACGTCAACTATGACAGACAAATTGAGAAAAAAAATTCCAGAAAATCACATTGTAGGATTTTTAATGAATTTATTTGCAAATTATGGTGGAAAATAAGTATTTGGTCACCTACAAACAAGCAAGATTTCTGGCTCTCACAGACCTGTAACTTCTTCTTTAAGAGGCTCCTCTGTCCTCCACTCGTTACCTGTATTAATGGCACCTGTTTGAACTTGTTATCAGTATAAAAGACACCTGTCCACAACCTCAAACAGTCACACTCCAAACTCCACTATGGCCAAGACCAAAGAGCTGTCAAAGGACACCAGAAACAAAATTGTAGACCTGCACCAGGCTGGGAAGACTGAATCTGCAATAGGTAAGCAGCTTGGTTTGAAGAAATCAACTGTGGGAGCAATTATTAG